TTGCTTGGGAAAGGGAACTCACTTAGTAGGCTTCTCTGGATGGAGAAAAGATTGAAGTTGTCAAGGATTTCACATTACTTGGTTCTACAGCCAACACCAATAAAAACAGCAGCCAAGACATCAGACGATGTATTGCGTTGGGCAAATCTGCTGCAAAAGACATGTTTCAAGTGATGCAGAGCAAAGATGTCTTCTTAAAGACTAAGGTGTGCCTAACCTAAGCCATGGTATTTTCAATCATGTCTTATGCATGTCAGAGCTGGGCAATGAATAAGGAAGTCCAAAGAAGAGTTGATGTTTTTGAGTTGTGGTATTGGCAAAGAATACAGACAGTACCATGGACTGCTAAGAGGATTGACAAATCTCTGCTAGAAGTGCAGCTGGAATGGTCCTTGGAAGCAAGAGTGGCCAGACTTCGTCTCACCTACTTTGGTCGTGTTGTCAGAAGGAATCATTCCCTGGAGAAAGATATCATGCTTGGTAAAGTGGAGGGTCAATGAAAAAGGGGAAGTCCCTCAACGAGATGGATTGACACAGTGGCTGCAACGATGGGCTCAGTTATAGCAAGGATCGTGAGGACCAGGCAGTATTTTGTTGTGCTGTGCATAGGGTCGCTATGGATCAGAGGTGACTCGACGGCACTTAACAACCACAACAACAGAAAGTGGATGAACAGTTTCCTCAAAATGTAAAGCTCAGGCTCACTTCAGAGAAGTTTCTGAGACATGGACGTAGGAGAGGCAACAGTCAAACCACCAGATAGCTTTAAAACAGATAATTGAGAATAAATGCATTACAAAGTTTTAAGAGGAGGCCAAAAGACTGCTTCTCTCTGCTTCATTTTTTTTTACTGAAAATATCTTCATATCTCTTTGACCAATGAATTCAGGCTACAGGAAACAGTCTGAGATGGCCCTAAAAGTTTCTGTTCATCACCATGTTATTTTAGGTGGTGAAAATTTAGAAACAACCTAAATGTGCATCTTTGTTCTTTTGTATATTTTCCAGTTTCGCCAATCAGCCTGTCGGTGTAATAAGAAGAATGCTTAGGTGTCTTTTCTTGGAAGCCTTTTCAGTGAATTGCATTAAACGTGAGCAAAAATTCTTCTCATCACCTCCAGCACACTGGGCAAGGGGGCTTTAGATTTTATCCTCCCGTCAAATCGTGGGGCCTTCAGTCCTGCCTTGGGTCCTGCCAGCAGTCTCCTGGGCCTTAACTGCACACTGGTGCACTGGAGGGAGGCAGGCAGACTCCTGGTGCTTCTGGAGATGAGGGAAGAAGAAGGGATCAGAAGGAGGGCATAGCAGCGGCAAAGGAAAGCAGAGAGAGTGATGTACACGTGGGTGGGAGTCATGAAACGTCACCAGTAATTTCCAGTGACTGCCCACCCACCTCAGTCTTTGCTTCACTAATTTTGATAAATGGCCATTTTCTGGTGACACCTTTATACCATCAATGCCTCTTTTGATACTACATCACCTCACTTCTTCATTATTGTCCCAAGTTCTCCAGGTTTATATTTTATCTTTCTTTTAACGTGTGCCCTTTACTATTTCTTAATCTTTGTTGATCTTGTTTATAGATGTTGTTGTTGTTGTTGTTATTATTATGTGCCCTTGAGTCAGCCCCAACTCATAGCAACCCCTCCTTGGGTTTCCGAGGCAGTATCACTACGGAAGTAGGATTGCCCAACTATCTATCTATCTATCTGTCTATCTATCTATCTATATAAATTAAATTACTCAAATGTTCTTTACTGGTAAGATTTCATTTTCCTTCTTAGGTATCTTATAACTACTTGTTATTTTGCCCATTAGTGGCATTTGCCATCAGCAGGAAAGGATGCAGTCAGTAGAAAGCTGTTGCTGCCACTGTGGCCGTATACACTGTTGACTGTGATGCACTTGGGAATACTGGAGAGGTCTTGAAACCCTTTCCCGAATGGAAGGTGCCAGGGCTTAGGTTTTCTGGCCTTCTTATATCAGGCCGTAATCTCATTTAGCATTTCCCAAAGTGAAACCCGTACCTGAGGGCGGTATAACCCGCATCACAGATCAATACAGAAGCCGTGCTTCCCCCACACAGAGGAGTCCATGAAGATGAACAGTCTGCTTCCGGAATAAGGACAATGACGTAGATTTCCTACCCTCTTTCCCCCTTTCTGCCATCTGATCATCAGTACAGGTTGAAATGTGCAAAAAGAACGTCCGGAGATGACTGCACACGCACAGAGAACAGACTGACAAACAGGAACGCAAAGGCCCTGAGAGTGGGTTGGACTGATCTGCAATGATAAAAGTAGACTTTGACACTTTCAAATCATAAATAAATAACTCATGGACTTCAACTTGCATGGCTTGTAGCTCAACTCAGGGTAAATACTTCTGTACAACTTAAGGGACCTCTTCTACGGAGCCCATAGTGTTCGATGTCTTTTTGAAAGGAGAAAGAATTGCCACCTTGCTGAGGATGCCGAATGGGAAGCTCACTCTTCACCGCCTTTTCTACATTCATGGCAGGGGCACCGATCTGGCCAGGGTCGTCCTTCTAGTCGTCCACCGTCCCACCCCTGCTTTGAGATCTGCCATCTGTTGGGGAGATGATCAACACGGGGATGCACAGTGCACCACTGTCCTGTGAATATCAGTGTTATTGTTCATAGATCTGCTAGGTTCAGCTGACCTGAGGTGGAATGATCCTTTACTCCATATTAACCCAGAAATTAATCGGTCAGTGGTGTATTTCTTTCTGTCTCGGAGCACAGCCAACTCATTTTTGATGCTGATGTTCAAGGTAGGGGGGATTTGGGAACTCTGTGCCTGCGAACATTCACAAACATCAGAACTTAGAAATCTTAAAAAGAGTGAAAACTGCTTGGTTTGGATTTCAATTCCATTCTTAGGTATTTGACAAAGCAGCAAGGTAATGAATGAAAAGGTAAAGCAGTGTTGGGTACAATTTAGGGGAGTGTCTTCTTTCTTTAGAGGGTACACCAAAAGAAAACCAAACTCACTGCTGTCGAGTCAATTCCAATTCATAGCAACCCCTATTGGGTTTCTGAGGCTGTAAATCTTTATGGAAGTAGATTGCCCCATCTTCCTTCTGCAGAGCAGCTGTTGGGTTTGAACCTCTGACCTTCTGGTTAGCAGCCAAGTGCCTTAGCCACTACGCCACCAGAGGAAGTTAATCCCCTGAGGGACGGTAACATGATTTGCATTTCAGTTTTCTAGACTAAAAAATTATATATTAGCTTAGTGTGTTGGATAAAAGTAATGAGGAGACAAACCGTCACCCAGGGGTTTCCTTGTTGGTGAGAAATATTCTCCCTGTGTTCTCTAGAGGATTTTTTTTTTAGAACCCATTAAACTCAAAATAATGCCATTTCAGGATTACCATGGAAATAAGAAATTTCAGTTTCAAAAAAGAGAACTGACAGGAAAGACTGAAAGCTTTTTGTACTAAACAAAACTAATTTGGAAAAATGTATGAGTTCTTAGATTTAAGGTGAATAATATGTATTTTCTGTGTGTGTTTATTGTATTTAATCTAAGTCCTCCTACCCTCTTAACACTAATCTTTGGTTTTCATTTATATAATATAACTCATTTAGTTTGGCTTGTTATCACTTTTCAAGTGTGTATCAAAACTATTGTAGAAATGTTTATGTGTGGTACAGCATATGTATTCGGAGTAATCTGCCTGAAATCTGGAATTTTAAGTATACTTAGTAAAGGCTTTAGCCCAAGGAATTTAAACATTTTTTTTTTTCTTTCCACCTATTTGTATTTGTTCAATAAATACTCATTGCATATCTCTGTCTAATAGCTGAAGTTACAAAGAAAGCAAGACACAGTCCTTACTTCTGGGGGTTCATGTTGCAGGACCTGGGGGCTAGTCGGTGGTCCTAGAGTGTAGTGTGGTTGGTGTGATGTGCTTGGTGGGAGAAGTTAGTATGGAGTCACCAGAAAAAGCATTATGGATCCTACCAGGGGAGGGAGCGTTTATGGAAGCTCCCTGGAGAAGGTTAGCCTTGAATGATGAGTAGCAGTTTTGCAGGTACAGAGACACAAATACACAAAGGAGAGTGTTCCTTCTAGGCCTGACAATGGTCTGGCCAGGCTACAGGGTGCAAAGGGCGAGGAATGGAGGCTGACAAGTAGGCAGGAGCCTAAGCAAGAAGGACCTTGCCAGATGACCTTGTATTTTATTTAGGAAGCACCAGGGAGAAATGGAGCTCTGGTCGTGTAGTGGTTAAAGCATTTGGCTGCTAACCAAAAGGTTGGTGGTTCGAACACACCAACCACTCTTCAGGAGAAAGATGAGGCAGTCTGCTTCCATAAAGATATACAGCTTTGGAAACCCAATGGAATTCACGGTGAGTCAGGATCACTCAGTGGCAGTGAGTTTGGCTTGAGTTTGAGGGAGGAATACTCTCATCAGATTTGTGTATTAGAAAGAACCATCCAGAAGACAAGTAGAGGCCAGAGTAGAGGGCAAAAGCTGAGAGATGGGTTTGGAGGCCACTGCCTAGAGCCAGGGTGTAAATGCTTAGGAATTAATGTAAGGGTGGTGAGTATGGAGGAGGAGGGCCCGACTACAGGAATATTCAACCCTCTGACCAACTACCTGGGTATGAGAATGGGAAGGAGAAGGCATGATCCCGGGTTCTTGGTTTGGCCATCAGGGCCGAAGGGCTGTGGTCCCATTCAGATAGTTTAGTCTTGGGTTTGGGAAGGAAGTTTTTAATGTCCAGAGTAGCTCCTACTGGTGTCAATTAATGGAACTAACTTCATAGAGATAATTTATATTGTATGCATTTTTTGTCATACTAACACTTTGGATATCTTTCTTCAGAGGTTGAAGAAAATGATTTCATAAACTTGTTTCCACGTGTGCAACATTTATTTATACCTTATTCAATATCTCATACATTGAATCATCTTAATCTTTATTCTGACTGAAGACCCCTTGTTTCAGTGCTCCCTGCTCTTGTTTTCAGGCGGTATGATTACCATCCGGTCTGTGCTGACCTGCAGGCCCAGATTCTCCAGTGCTACCGCCAGAACACCCACCAGACCCTCAGCTGCTCTGCTCTGGCCGCCCAGTACATGCAGTGTGTCAACCAGGCCAAACAGGTGGGTGTGTGGGGCAGCGTGAGGATTCAGTGGTGGGATGTGTATGAGAAAGCTTCATCAACTAAATTAGCCATCATCACCAAGCACTGCCATCACAGAAGAGGTAGTTGGGTCATGGTCAAGTTCCACGCAAGCAGGTGTGGGAGAGTCTATGTTCTTCTTGTGTTCAGCTCACTCACTTGCCCCCTATCCCCATAAAAAATCTTACTGCAATCACTAATTTTCTCAGTTGGCCTGTACTTCTGCCCTCTCTCATTATCAGCTGCCGTCAAGTGGATTCCGAACCATGACGACCCTGTGTGTTGTAGAGGAGGACTAGTCCACGGGGTTTCCAAGGTTATTACCTTTTAGAACCAGATCAGCAGGCCTTTCTTTGAGGTACTTCTGGGCAGGCTTGAATGGACTCCCTTCTGCCCTCTACTTTTGAGTCACTATGTAATGGTGTCCTTGAAGTCATTGTCCAGATATTCCTGGGTCAATATTCAGAGCCAACAGAGAGAGGAGGGCTTACAATTAAAGAGCTAGAACAGCCTCAGGTCACTAAGCAGCAGGTGGTCATGCCAAGAGCCTGGTGAAAAAATGCCCCACTGCATCCCTCTACCAACTGGTGGGGCCCAGTCAGCTGTGCATGGAAAGGGGGCCCAGAGGTGGGATGTAGAAGAGAGTTTCTCTTGCATTTAATACCTTAGAGCCATATTCTTCTCTTGACCCTTCATATTTGAATATGATGTTCACAGGACTAGAGCTTTCTCTAATTTATGTACTTTAGAAAAACTAATGATAAACTGTGGAGTAAATTATCAATTCCAGCAGGCCACATAATTGCCTATCATTGAACTGATTGAACAGTTGGGTGTAGGTTGTTCTGAGAGACAGAAATTGTTAGAAACCTGGATTCTTCCTGCTGACAGACTCCCTAGAGTTGACCCTCTAACCTAAGTAAATCTAGGGTTGGAGTTACACAGCATGTCTGTCTGAAATCTAATTTACTGTGGTTGTCATAATACCACTCAGTGTACATTTCTAACATTCTCTAAGTATTTATTTGGGAGGGTTGGTATTATCTGGATAGCTGGAAAAGAACAACACTGGTAGAAAAAAATACAATCAGGACTTTTTGAACGCCTGTGTTGTCTTTAAGCGTCAGTAGCTTTAGGCTCTTTTCTGTTTCTGGCTGGAGCAGCACTTGTGTAACCTAGTACTGTGCCCGGATTCTGTTCTTGAAGAATCTTCGTTGGAGGTAATGCTGCTAAATGCCAAGTTTGTACATTTTGTCTGTCGACCACAGCTTCTGATATGCTCTTAACAAGCCCCAGCCTTCAGTAGGAATGCTAACAGAAGCATCAAATTATTATTATCGGGACGGTAGATTGACGCATAGAGTTTTCCATCTTTTTCCTTAGTATACAGTTCAGTAGAAAGAATAGCTCTGATGGTGTGTTTCCACACTGGCATCTGGTGTACTTACCTAATTCCACAGTGTGATCTGGGGCATTTGTAAAATACCTGCAAGGGCATTTGCAGTACTGGCTGCATCCTGCCCATGGAGGTTTGGTAGCGTCATCTCCACGTAGCCCCGTGAGGCCAATGGCATATCTTTGTGAAATGAACAAAGTTAACCTGTGACAAAATCCAATAAGCCAGGTGGTATAATCAAGAGTCGGAATCAGGCAGATCTGAGTTTGTATCCAAGCCCCGTCTTTTACTGGCTCCATGACCTTGGGCCTCAGTTTTTCTCATCTGTGAGTTGAGGGAATGATTATTCTGAAGGTTGCATTTCTATAAAACATTCAATAAGTCTTTCTTTCCTTGTCCTTTCCTCGGTTGTGTTATTTCATATTGAAGGTAACTGCACAGATCAGCCAAAGGCATCACATTATTACTAGTAGATACCAGAAGAGGCTTTCTGCTTCTCCCCTAATCTGCATTATGATTTAATATCATAATTCAGTGTTTGCAGCCAGTATGTGTGGGGTGCCTCCTGCTTTCATGGCTCTTGTCCGCAATTACTGGGGAGCGTCTGTCAGTAGAAAGCCAGTTGCTGTTACATAGGCGCCGGCTCATGGTGACCCAGGCTGTCAAAGCCGAGCCTTGCTTCCAGGCTTTTCAGCACTGATTTTTCAGCAGTGGATCACCAGGCCCAGATGCATCGGGTGAACTTGAACTGCCAGCCCTTCGTATAGCAGTGGAACAAGTTAAATGTTTACACTACCTCACTCGCACTCACTCACCGCCATTGAGTCGGATCCAACTCATAGCAACCCTTCCTTGGGTTTCTGAGACAGTATCACTACAGTAGTAGATTGCCCAACCTTCCTTCCGAGGAGTAGCTGGCAGGTTTGAACCACCAGCCTTTTGGTTAGCAGTCAAATGCCCTAGGCACTACACTACCAGAGCTCCTTACAGTACCTTGTTGTTGTTGTTATGTGCTGTCAAGTAGGACCCGACTCATAGTGACCCCTCCTTGGGTTTCTGAGACAGTATCACTATGATAGTAGATTGCCCAACCTTCCATGCAAGGAGTGGCTGATGGGTTTGAACCGCCAGCCTACTGGTTAGCTTTCAAATGCCTTAGGCACTATGCTACCAGAGCTCCTATTACATACAGTACCTGTTGTTGTTGTTATTTGCCGTCAAGTCGAACCCAGCTCATAGCAACCCCTCCTTGGGTTTCCGAGGCAGTATCATTACAGAAGTAGATTGCCCCATCTTCCTTCCGTGGAGTGGCTGGTGGGTTTGAACCGCCAGCCTTCTGGTTAGCAGTCAAGTGCCTTAGGCACTATGCTACCAGAGCTCCCATTACAGTACCTAGGGACACCATATTAATAAAAGATAACATTAAAAGATATATGTCCACAAACCTTCTTCATCTAAAACAGGCATTACAGGCGTTATTGAAATAAGCAACAGCAGTACCTTCTATCTCTGCAGTGCAAAAGTTTTCAAGGTGGTTTCACATTCATATTCTTGCTAGTTTCGTATAACAACCTGAGCTGTAAACAGAGATGGTTTTGTTTCACCATTTTATAGTGGAGAGAACTGAAACCCAGGGAAGTCATGCAGGTAAATTTAACCACAGGGTACCTTGGCATTAGAACAAAGCATTTAAAATAAATTAAATTGGGTTTTTTTTTTTTTTTTTTTTTTAGCAGGCAAGCATGTGACCAGATGGCTGTCATCCATTAATACAGAAATAAGGCAGAGAGAAAATGAGAGCATCAGAGAGTGGGGGGAAAGAAAATCGAAGCTGGGATTAAGTAGTAACAGGGTCCAAGGTAACAATAGGGCAAGGGATGAGAAAGCACCCCGTCCGAGGTCCTCAGCTCCACTCTGCCCCATGTTAACCAGTTGCCCTAAGTTGATTCCATCTCATGGTGACCCCACAGGACAGAGTACACTTGCTCCATAGGATTTCCAAGGCTGTAAATCTTACAAAAGCAGACGGCTAATAACGTTCACCCTAAGGCAGCTGGTGGGTCTGTCCTGCCGACCTCCTGGTTCGTGTCTGGGCATTTAACCACTGCGCCACCAGGGCTCCTCTGCCCCGTGTTAAGATCTCACCAAGTGAAACAGGTGGCTCATCCAAATCCTTCCTTCAGAGCTGGTTTTCCTGTGCTGCTTGTAAACTTAGGGCCTTACCCATGACCTCATTCTTGCCCTGGTTAGAAGACACTTGACCAGTCTGCTGTGTCCTGCTTGTCCATTGTGACAGTCCTTAATAGGCTTCCTCTTAAATCCAAAGAGCAAGATGGCCATGCTCACCATGGACAGTGCTCAGAGTGACAGCAGCCATTAGGTCGTGTTGTCCATTTCCGACTAGCACAAGAGCGTACCCTGGGGAATAATTGCAATAGCCAGCTCCACTCCTTGTTCAAAGGGCTCCTAAGATTGATCTTTCAGGGTTCCCTTGAGGCGTGGGTCTGTCGTCTAATAGATTTTACTTAGGGAAATTCCAGATACTCCTTAGTCTCTTCCGTTCTTCTTGTTCACCCACTTCTTCACATCAATCTTTCTTCACCTATTCTGAAACAATTCTTTGTGGGTTGACATGGAGCATTTAAACTGTGATTTCCAGTATATTAAGTTACCTGATTTTCCTAAGAGTAGAGACATGAAAATGCTCTAATTGTTATTTCTAGGATTTAGAAGCTCTCTGCCAGCTGTGTGAGATTCAGCATTTAAATGGAGAATATTGATTATTACAGACCTGCTTTTATTTTCCATATCTACTTAGCCTCAGAGCTTTCTATAAGTCCCCCAACCTGGATTACCCATTCTTGCCATTAAAACCTAATTCCCATTCAGTCTTGCTGTACCTACTTTACACAGGGGACCATGGAAGAGTGGGAGCGTGCCTGGAAGCCAGTAGTATTTGACCATTAGTGGATCAAAATGTGCCTAAGTTCTTTTTAAAAAATGGTAGAAAGGGGGAAAATGCAGAACAGAATTTCAAATTCTCACAGAATCCAGACTTTGTAGAGCCATGGAGTCTAGATGAGCCCCTGAAACTATTGCCATGAGATAATTCTTAAAACTTAAACCAAAAATATCCCCTGACAATAATTTAACTTAACTAAGAATGTGGCGAAGTGCCTAAGGCATTTAACTGCTAACTAGAAGGCTGGTGGTTCAAACCCACCAGCCACTCCATGGAGGGAAGACTGGGCTGTAAAGATTACTGCCTCTGAAACCCAAAGGGGGTCACTATAAGTCAGAATCAACTCGATGGCAGTGAGTTTGGTTTTAGGAAAGAATGTTGGCTTTGAGCATCATACTCTTAAAAACTATCTGTATCGGATTAAGTTGACAACAACAGCTTAAAAGAGTAGGTAGGAAACTTAAGAGGCAGTGAGTTTATTTTAGTGGGGGAGGAACAATTCAGAAAAGGAGGGTAAGAATAGTTGCAAAACTCTAAGAATGCAATCAGTGTCACTAGATTGTACATGTAAAAACTGGTGAATGGGTGTATGTTCTGCTGTGGGTCTTCTCAACAACAAAATTGTAAAAAAATTAAAATGAAAAAATGAGGCAAAGGGGCCTGTTGCTCCCTGGGATGCCCCACACAGCCCTTTGCTTCCGGAGATACCTCACTGCCCTGAAATTTACTCGCAGCTGGTCTAGGCATTCCAGCTGTTTTCCCAGCCCTACTACTGCAGACAGGACAGCGGAGAAGCTGCTGGATTCTTATGGCATATTCTGTGTATACTGAACAGCAGGCTTATGAGAAATGTGGTCACACCCAATCTAATCTGGCCATGGTGGCCTGGGCTTTGTTTCCTTGTTGGCAAATTGAGAGTTGGACAGGGGATCAAGGGCCTC